GCATAACCATGGAAGACCCGGTAAATCTCATATTGCTCATATCTCTACTTGCCTCATTAATGTCATAAAAGGGGCAAAGTGCTTTGCTGGTCTGAGGCATTTATTTATCGATACCTGACGTTGCTTTTGGCTACATGGCTTGTATTGTTCGTATGCAATTTACCTCAGCCTTGCCACAAAATATGGAGATTTTAGTTCCAACCTGATAAATAACTGTGTCAGCAGAATAATTGAATTTTGTATATTTCCTAACCAACATATTATTTATTTATTTCATAGCTCTCTGTGGTTTTTTAAATTATTTGAGCTTTGTGATTCAGGAAAGTACCTTTGAATTTATGAAGCCCTTAAGCATATGCTTAACTTAAGCCTCGTGCTTATAATCAAGTAAGTGTTGTTGAGGTGTTGTCCTGAATCTAGGACTTAATTTCTAGTAGACTTATTTATTTGAACGGAAAGGCATATTTTAAGAGGAGAAAGAAGTGATAAGTCATCAGCTAGTTCCAAAAACCCTGAGCTCATTTGCATGAGAAAGATGCAAGGCTCTCTGTATTGTTATATGAGAGACGGTAGAGACCTATACATTTATCTAGCGTAATGCTCCTTATCCTCAAAACTTGGTAAAGTTTTATTCTCTCATTGTTTGTCACAAAATCCCCTAAAGCTACAGATACGTCTTTCTTTGTCCCAGAAAATTCCTTTGAAGCTTGAATTGAGCTTAAGCATGTAAGAAGCGCAGTTTTCTCCTCACTTGAAAAAATGCCTATCCCGTGGGTTCATGGCACTGCAAAGAAAAAGCAACATGTATTTCTGCACAGGCGACACCAAAGGCTTGCTACACAGAAAACTAATCAGAGACATTCCCGCACTACATCTTTCCAAGCAGAGCACGTGGATTAAGTGATTCATTTTTACTCACCCAGGGGTTTGGAATACAGTCCTTTAGTTCCAGGAGGGAGCAGAACCAGACCACTTGAGCATCTCCCCTGATTTCTTTCTGCTCCCAAACCATCTGCTTCTCTGTTGTAATAGTCTTCTGCTGTTCGTTAACCTAGTTAATCCTCTGGCATAAGCTGTAGTAATTTATGCTGGATGTTTGGGTTTCACATGGTACTAATGGTATCTAATGAACTGTGGTTACAGAAACATCTGTTCTATACAATAGTTAATTTTTTTCTTTTTTTAATCCTGGTGATTAGATGTACAAAAATAGGAGCTCTTTAGGCTGCAGAGATTAGAACTCAAAACTTGAGTACTGAAATAGGCCAGATTTAATATTACCCATGCAACCTTCATTTAGCTCCCACTTGTTTATGCATTGTTGGATATTGATGCATGTTATTACTCGATGCTTTTTCACAGAATACTTGCCAAATGAAAAAGGGGCTGAAGGAAGGTTGAATGGGACACCTGTAAGACTGCGGTATCCTCATTTAAGCATACGACTAGAAGCTAGAGAACATCTCTTTATTTCATTTTGTATGTAATATTTATATGATACAATTGAGCAATATGGCAGAAGAATCTATGCAAGAATTCATTTACAAGTAAGAAAACTGCAAAAGTTTAAACTAAGCTATTAATATTAATGAAGACTATGCTCCAGAATAATGTGAGTGAGAAATGGGATATGCTAAAAACAAACAGTAATATACTGTTTGTACTTAACAAGGAAAGTAAGAAGAGAAAAGCGCTACTTAATTATAATGTTGCAGAGTTAATAATGCAGTAGAAATCTTAGCTCTTTCTAATTTGAGTGCTTAATTTCTCATTCTTAATGTTGCAGTAATGCAGTTTCCAGATTTAATTTCCTTATATTTATTTGTTTTTAGCAGCTCAGAAGGCAAATAAGAGAAACACATTGTGAAACTCCTGTAATGAGATCTTAGTGCTACTAACATGCCTTACATTTTCTGTAAAGTTGCTGATTGCATTTAGAGTCACCTCAGCAGCGCTAAATCATTTCAGCAGTTTACTCTTACCTCCAGCGTCATTAAAGTTCTCCAAGTTTAGGAAATGCATTTGAAAAAACAGAACAAAACCCCTCATGTTCCTGTATGAAACTGTCACCTTATAACATCCATAGCTTTAAAAATAAAAACCAGATTTTCTTCAGGCATGAACCCTTTATCCTTACCCTGTGGGACTCTAAAGGAGCTATTTAAACTCATGCGATCGTGCAGTTAAAGGCTGGGCTGACTCAGCAAAGTGTTTAACTATGTGTTTAAATTCTATTGCAATCAATAGAATTTGAGCATGTGCTTAAATATTACGTTGAAAAGGGATGGATTTACACACGTGTTTTAAAGCTAAGAATGTACCAAAGTAGGCCCATAATATGTCGAAGCAAGTCGGAAGAATTCAGGCTGTAAAAACCCTACCTTTGGGGTGGCTGACTTCATAAGTAAAATATTTTGATATAATTTTTATATCTGATCTAAAATATAAAGTACAATGCTGTAGTTATTATGGTTTGTGAATTAGCTAACATAAGATAGTTTATGTGTCTGTCAGTTTAAAATAGTACGCCAAAATTAAGAACACTTGCAGCTAAAAATCTGAATGTACATTTTCTGCTCTTGAAAATAGTTTGCTTTTATTTAGTTACTGAAGTATTTGAAGTCAGTTAGAGCTGTGAATGCTATCTGTAAAAATGCAGCTGCATATATACGAAGTTATAAACACGTATGGGTACCTAATACCAGGATCCCACCCTCCAGCATTTTCCATGTTCTGACCTGTTTTTAACTTATTCCTCCAGTGTTTCCCTGTAATACGAGACTTGATTATTTTGAGGCGCTGAATCACTAAACAGGGTCATGTTCTGGTTGGCTCAAGGGCATAAGCAATTCCGCTTTTTTATTTACTTCTGTCTAGAAAAAGCTTTTTCTGTGTTAGAGAAGATCTGTTTCTACTGGTGATCTCCCTTGCACTCGTGTTACACGTCTTCTGCCCTGCACCATCAAAGTGCCACGTATTTCCCACAAAACATTTGGGTATGTTTATTTTCAAGAGAAAAATGTTCACAATACCAAATTGTCAGCTGTCAACAGTACAATGGTATGCGTGATGTTCATCCCGTCTTGCACTGTAACACCCTACCTCTTGCTGTGCTGCCACTGCCCGTGTCCTTGTCCCTTTGCAGAGTTGGGTGTATGCTGTCTGCAGAGCTTCGCAGCTTCCCCAAGAGGAGTGCTCCCAGGGAAAATTGAGGGTAGGGAAGACAGAAGACAAGGAGAGGGGAGTGTTTAGCAGTGATAGGTGCTAACTTGAGGATCCTGTAGGAAAAACTCCGTTGTCAGCTGCTGCCGTCTCCGTCTGTCTGGGGGACAGATCCTAACTGTCAGCAGGACCAGGTCATTTGGCACATGGAGGAAGCAAAGGTTTTGGATGATGGAGGAGACTTGAGCCACAGGCCTCCCAGGTGCCATCGAGTATCCAAATGTCACAGGAGTGTCACAGTACGTTGTTATTGTGAATCTTTTCTTTGGTAACACAATTGTGAGAAGTTTTAAAAAAAAAAAAAATACTGCCTTTGGCTACGATCTATTGCGTTAGCTGAAGAGCACGCAGATGATCCTTCTCCAAAAGGCAGAACCAAGCCTCAAGTACTGGGCAGATTCTTGAGTCTTCACTAGCAAAAGGTGCTGGAGATAGTTGAGAATTTGGTGGATTTCTAGAAAGCTCCGAGACAAGCTCTGTATTGGCTTCTTGATTACAGTGAGGAATCACGTCCTTGTGGCCATTGTTGCTCCCCCAGAGCAGTGACATGGAAGGGGACTCGTAATTTTGGTAGGTGAGTGGTCAGGCTGCTGTATCATATATGTAGGTAGTGACAGGTTTTGGTCACCTGTGTAACAAGTGCTATAAGGCAGAGCAGGACGCAGAGAAGTGAAGTACCATCTGTAACAGTGAAATGAAACTTATCTACGTGTAGGTATATTAATCAGCAAACAAGATACGCAACTTTTGAAACATCATTATGAAAAATAAACTTCACGTAGCATGTGTGAAACCTGCCAAGACACAAAGGAGCATGGTGCTGTTGTCTGATACGCCGTCAAACGCTGCTCTTCTGAAAGCACAGTCTCTTGTAAAACTGAGAAAGACGCCGTGCAAATTGCCTAATGCTTCTAAAAATAAGTGTGCGCTCCTCAGCCCCTCTCCGAATTTTAGCAAGTCAACCAAAGAGTGCATAGTCGGTAACCGTGTCTAACACGCTGTGCCACAACTGGTGACTTACTACAAGAATTATATCAAGCGTGCTAAATACGGAAAGGCTGCTTATAACTGCACACACAAAACCCGGTCCCTCATTAACATCTGCCCCCACCTTCTGCTCCCCCCCAGCCCTGTTAGCTTCAGAAATTGCCTCTCCCGAGGTGGCTGCAGGTCCTGCAGGGAGCAGGCAGCAGCCCGGCTCCCCCGCCAAAGCCGACTGCGGCGTAGCCAGAGAAACGGGCAGCAAAAATAGAACAGCAGGATGACTGCGCGTGGGCGAGGCAGAAACCACATTGCCAGCAAAACCTCCCGGCGTTATTTTAGGACCGATACATCGGCCGTGGCGTTTTGCTCACTGTTCGCAAAATACTCCCCGGGGGAGGGCAAGGAGGGAGAGGGGTGCGAGTCCCGGGCGAGGAGCGTTTCTGTCCCACTCCCTGCTTGCCTTCCTCCCTCCCTGGCTTCTCCCCACTGAAACAGGCTGGGCAGGGGAAGGGGTTAATCGCGCTCGAGGCCGAGCGGCGGAGGGAGGACAGCCGGCAGTTTGAAAGACAGAGACTGGACAGCTGTGTTTGCTGTGGTATTTTTAAACGCATTAATGCAGGCTCCAATCACCCGGCCATGCTTGACCTATTTTTGGCTCAGGCCGGCCATTGTTCTATTTCTGCCACCGCTGGGCCACGCGGGTGTCGATTCAAATGCAAATGAGTTATCGCTGCTGCTCCCGCCAACTTTGCCCAGCCGCCCGGCCGGGGGAGAGCCAGGCAGGGAGAGGAGAGGGGCGCAGGGACAGCAACGCTGGTCCGGGCTGGGGTAATTCCGACTAAACCCTCAGGGGCTCCCGGTCCCTGGAAAGGTGGCTTATTCGGTTTGATGGTTTGTAAGAGGCTGTGTTTCCCCCCCGCCCTGACAGAAAGACAGCCTGAAGCGCAGAGATATTTCTTCATTTCTTCTTCCACCTGCCGTTGGCTGCCCGAACGCAACTGCTCAAACTCGGCGGCGCACAGCCCCCCGCGCGCTCACGGCTCCCCTCCAGCAGGCGGGGGCTGCCGAGAGTGGATTTGGGGTTTTCTCTCTCTCCCGATAGATACTTGTGCAAACGCTTAAACATTGCTAATTGCCGAAGCGTATTATCTTACAACCCTCGCTGGAGGAGGTAGGACCGCAGAGGGTCGTGCCCGACGCCCCTGTGCAAGTGCAGTGATGAATCTCTCGTGTAGCTGAAGTGCAGACTGGTTGGAATATGCTGCAGACAATTTACGAGAGTGAATCGTGTTTTTCCTCAGATGGGGTTTCTGGACGTGAACAGCTCTTGGCTCAGCAAAGAATGCACAGTATGATCAGCTCAGGTAAGAGACAACTCCGTACCTCGGACTTCAGTGGCTGACCGGGAAAATACAGCCTAGCACGACAAGAAAACACCCCTCCTTTAAAGAAGTGACTTTATTTTTGTGGGCTTTATGTAAGTTGTTGTTAAATAATTATCTCTACGATAGTATGTTAGATAGCAGCTGCTGCTTTTGTGGGGAGTTTGTCTCCTTCAGTCTGCTGCTTTCCAGATAGAGCAAAATGCTCACAGCCAAAATCTAGTTTGGGATTCCTTGTTTGGTTTGTTGCGTGGTTGCAAAATGGGGCTCGTGGTAGAGGCTTATTCACAGAGAGAGGCTTCCTCAGACAGCCCTTGTCAGGAGGCTGCAGTTACAGCCCCTCATAGGCAATTCCAGTCATATGTCTATTGTAAACAGGATTTGGTCTTTCTGCGAGTTTCCTTTTCTCCAGTTTGCGTACAAAGGGAGTTTAATACTAATCCCTTTCTCTTTTCATTACAGTGTTACTTTAAAATGTCTTCAATATGCATGGCTTATTTTCTTACTTTAAAAATATTTGGGAACCTGGCAATGGTAGTCATATGTAGTGACTCACTGAGATGTAAATCGGATGTGTTTTTTAATGAAGGTATTTCAAAGCTGCTCTGAAAGAACGCTGGACGTTTCCTCATGTATTTGAAGCTACCCTTATATTTTCTAGTTTCTTTGCTAGCTGTGTTTGAGACCTGCAAATGATGTACTGAGGATGAATTAAGTTGGAAGAATTGTTGCCATTCAGGTAACATGTCAATTTAGACAGGCTAAAAAAGTCAAAATTTCAGGTTACTCGTGCGCATTCTCTCCTAAACTCTGTGAATTCCAGTTATGTTTTTATTGGGCAGAAACTCTGTCTTTTGAGGCATGATGTTATCTGTTTTATATCTTTTTAATCCTAGGTTTCTGACTTTGTTTTTCATAAAGTTGGCTTTATAGAGGAGCTATATGTAGAATGCAGGGTGAATTGTTTACATGTACTTTGGTCTTAGTTTACCCTTTTTCTTTTTCTTTTTCTTTTTCTTTTTCTTTTTCTTTTTCTTTTTCTTTTTTTTCTCTTTCTCTTTTTCCTTTCCCTTTCCCTTTCCCTTTTCCCTTTTCCCTTTTCCTTTTCCTTTTCCTTTTCCTTTTCCTTTTCCTTTTCCTTTTCCTTTTCTTTCACAAAACTTGGCAGTGCTTCTCAGTTTTAAGATTAATTATGTGTGTAGACCACAGCTCTCTTCACGTATTTCCTGTTTTGGTACACCTGTTGAGCCCATGTTTGTTTGTTCATTGTTTGTTTGTTTTAAAAAACTGTTTCTTTTCCTGCTTTATAGAAAAAGAACTTAAAGTTTTACTTGAGTTTCTTTCTTACATACAATTTTAGAGCAGACTTCTAGTTTCAGGTATGAAAATAAATTGTGAGAGATTGTGTCAAATGGCAATATCTTTCCTGTTAGAAAAGACTTAGATGTCTTAACCTCTTGATTAGTGTTTTTTCAATATAGAAAGCCAAGACTACCTCATAATGATTATAGACTGAAGGAGGAAACGAGAGCCTGAAAAGCTGTTATGTGCAGGTTAAAATAATGAGAATACCTAAGGGGAGTGGAGACTTCCAACTGGTAATGTTTAAGATTGGCAATTTTTCTGTTCCTTTATCAAGCTGCTGGGTTCACTTGTTTCTTTTTGGATCTCTCAAAGAATTTACTATTTCTCTAACTTCTTAGAAGATATGTTGATCACCGATTACAGTTCCTTTGTCAAAGACAGAAATCAGGTGAAAGACTTGTTTACAAATATGAACAACCAAGCTGTAGCAAAGACAGTGGGTAAAAGCGGAAGTTTCTCTTAAAGTGTTACAGTTCTGCAAAGCCATCTACAGTGTCGACATCTTGTTCAAGAATTAATGCTTTTCTTTGGTTTTACTGAACAGCTCAGCAGGTGTCCAGTGCTTTTGTATTGGTCAAAGAGATAAGACTGACTGCTTCCCCTCCCTCCTGTTGTTTTTTTTAATACTGTATCAAGTTGAAGTTAGCTGTACACAAGTGAAAATCTGTTTTTTAGCTCACTATGTTACCTTGTAACTGCCAACTAATGTTGCTTGAGTAATAGCAATTTTCTCATTTGAAACACAAGAAAGGGAGGTAATTTTCTGTAAGTTTATAGCTCTGCTTTTCTTCACTGGAGACAAAAATATCATGTAACAGTTGATTTTTTATCTGATATTACATTAGTCCCATATAACATATACAATTTCTCCTGTAGTACCAAGTAGAATAGAGGGGGGGTTTAGACTTTAAAAAACTCAACAACTTATTCATGAACATTATCCAGGTAAAAGATGTTTAAATATATATTCTGTAGAACACAAAATATTCCTCAGTGTTTCTGTTGGCCTTTAAAATACACAACTAGACTGCAAGTAGTTGACATTGTACATAGTCTGCAGTTTAATTCATGTCACATGAAACCGCAAATCGGCAGTGCTGCTGTCGATTACCTTCAGTTCCCTCGAGTTCAGGGTCTTGCAGGATCAGGCCTGGTAACTTTTCAGGTATTGTCTCTCTTTATGCTGCATACAGGGGAGAAAGAAATAGCCAGGGTGTGACGATGTGCTCTAGTATTTGGAGTAGCTAGAATCAGTCATTTGAATTTTGCTTATCGCAGTGTCCTTACTTTAAAGTTATCTTCACTTACCTGTATGCGACTTTTGCTCAGGTTAAAAAGTTGCACATATTTAAGAAAAGAGCAGATCCCTGAACATTTACACTTTGCACCCTTGATATTCTTGAAGTCTTTGAAGCAAGCACAACTTAAACACTCAATGGATTTTTAGGTTTGCTAGTTTCCACATGCAACGGGCATGTATTATGCAACTCTGATTTTAAACTGGGCTGGAGCCATCCCCAAAGAGGACAGATTCAATGGCCCATGGATACGTATTTGCAAAGCAAACTGTCTAAGGAATTTCTGACAATAGCAGGCATAGGAAGTACTTCTGTCATGTGAAGCAGTTCTCCTGGTATTCCCTCAATTACTGCTTTGCCTGTCTGTATCCATCCCTGCTTGTAAATCATACTATGAATGAGATGATCTGGATAGGTACCAATCAAAAGTCTAATTATGAATGGAGCAATCTAGATCGGCACTGACTCAAGAAGCTGTGTAATTTGCAGACACCTACACCTTACTGCAGAGAGCAGTTTCAGCTGTCTTGAGAAGACTGAACTAGCTTCTCCCATATGGTACTGTTGCTCTAAAATGCAGCAGTAAGTGCTATGCATCTTTCTTTAAGAAAATGATGCTGATGTATTCTTATTTGATACCATAATTATTTTAGTTTCATGATTTAAAAAATAGATCTGGAGTCTAAAGCCTCTTATTTAGCTGGAATTACTATTTAACTATGCCATTGCTTTTATTTTACCAAAAAAGTCTCAATTTCCATGTGTGTGCAATGCCACAGTAGACCCTAGCATTCAGCTGGCCTCTTATCTTACCACAACACGAGTAATAAACTATAAGTCCTTGAAAAAAAAACATTTGGTCCAGCACAGTCCATGGCAAGAATGCTCATTAAAATGTAGTCCATAAATAACTAATGCAGGGCTACATTACTCAAATAGGTGTCGGTTGTGTGAAGGAGAAGAAAGAACCTACCCAGCCATGGCATCTGTAGATGTGGGACTTCAAGAAGTAATGCCGAGTTCATTAACTTCTGGTGATTTAACATACTGTGCTGTTTTTCCAAAGGGTAAGGTTGCTACGTTTGCTTCACTGGCCGTATTTTGACATACAGCCTTGCACTGGCCTGCCTAAATCCCACCTTGGCTTTTATTGGATAAGGCATCCTCTGCTTCCTGCCCAAAGCTGTTGTGTTGAAAAATCAAGAGTTCAAGGAGATCTTGAGCTTAAAGCCTTGGCTCGTCACCAAGTCAGGTGACCTGAGCAAGTTACGCAATCCTGCTTACATCAGCAAACCCTTCTGTGAAATAGAAGATGATACCTGTCAGGCTCAGGAATCTATACAGCAAAACTATTCTAAAGAGAAGATAATGATTCAGAATGATTAATTTGATTGACTTCATCTATCTACAGGCTTGCAAAACACCTGCAATTTCACAAATGTAGTAAGTGAATGTAGTCACAGTATTTTATTCTCTGCACCAGTCAGGGAATTCAAGCTGTGTCACTTCAATATAAATGACAGAATCAATGCTACAGGCATCATGTTGTACATGGGTTGACAGGTCCTCATGAGCTATCTTCCCCCAGTAAACCCCGATGTATAAAATTTATCTCATATGTTGTATCTATCGTGTGGCTGCATGACCATGTATACATGTTTGTACACATGCATTGATATTGCCTCCAGGGAAAATTCTTTGGTATTTGCTCTCCCCTTTTTTCTGGCCAAACAAAACCTTCACCTGCTCAACTGTTCCTGTGGAGAGATTGCAGAAAGCAAATTCAGTTAAAGGTTTGCTCTGATATTCATGAAAAACTTGACATATTTGCATATCTGAATCAGGTAACGTAAAGTTCTTACAGATTCAAAATGTTGCATATGTGGTATCTCAGGCAATAACTCTTCAGAGAGAGCGAGAATAGATATGCTGAGCTTTTACTTTGTGATTCTCTTCAGAGTAATGAAAAAAATTGAGTGTGAAAATTCAGTTCAGGGAAGTTCTGGGTAACAGCTGGAGAGGCTTTTTCAATGCCTGTCGTAAAGGCTAAGTAGAAAAAAATCTAGTGCTTCATAGTAGTAGCTGAAGTATTTGAATTAATTGTTACAAAAGAGTAAGGCCTTAGCCTTAACAATTAATACAATGAGAAGAGGCAAGCAACACAGACCTGCAAGTCTTATGTAGTTAAAATCTCACTGATTTTGAGTAGAGGCTCTGCCCAGTAATGTATGCTGGACAAGACACTGGTTATGAATTCAGTTGAACAAAAATGTGGTAAAATGAAACAAAGCTGCTTTTTCTATTTTATGTTATTGAGAA